GGACACTGATGGCATAAATGAGTAACACAAAAGAGCCTCGTAAGGGCTACTCATAGTCACAGCAGCTAACCTGGGCTTCCCCCAGAGACTACAGAAGAAGAGATGGGCAAGCAGAACAGAACATACAGGGATGTCTCAAGGCTGTTGGAGTAAGAGTTCAGTGCTCGGTAGACTTCACCAGGCCCTTCCTTCATCTCATGGCTGCTGCTACTGCCTAAACCATTCAGGGGATTCCCTGGTTTGGACTTATTTTTCCAAAATCTGAGTCATTTCTTCACAACCTGACACAGTGCAGCTCCTTTCCTTCTAGGTCACAGAAAGCAGCCCATCCCAGCCTTCTGTAGTATGGAGACCCAACGGAGCAGCTTTTCCTGTGTTCCTGAATTCTGCACTTCAGGCTACAGCAGTAGAAACACATGGATTTGTATTGTACGAGAACCATGAAATTATAGCTGAACCACCTCCTCAACAATTCTGGGCAACAAACAGGGTAGTCCAGGACCATAGTGGGACCTGTAACTGTTGCTGTAATCACAAACAAACCCCAGATGCTTTGTTCATGTCAGACAGCTAAGAACAAAAAGAGGGCTGGGTCCAGCTTCAGCACAGAGGTTCCCTTGAAAATTCCCCAGCTTCAATTCCAGAGGCTGAATAAAAAGCTAGGGAAAACCAATGACTCTTGGCAAGTGGGAATTCTTCTGGAGCTCTTTTTCCCTCTATCAGACCTGCCAGGCTGTTGACTCCTTCCATTGCTAATAGCAGAGGAGCAACAAACTTAAGGATCAATCACTGGGATAACTGATTTTTAAACAGTTCAAGAGTTGGCTAGAGTACTTTCATGTTTTCCTCAAAACCATGACATTCAACAATCCCTTCACAAAGAGGAATAAACTCAACTTTGCCAACCAACATGCCCATGAGTAGATCTGCAAAGGGACCAGGGAAACACATACCTGGAATCTCCATCTGGATCTTCTACATTCTCACCAATACTGTTTACCGCATACCTACTCCTCGACTTCCCTAAAAAAAAAAAAATGGAGCGGGGGGGAACTTCAACCTTGGAGAGATTACTCTCTGGTCCTGTTCACATAGCACACTTTGCAATTTGATGGAGGGAAAGGTAGCATATTTGGTGAATATCCAAACATCTTACCCAGACAACTAACCCAGAGGGATGTTTCAGGGTAAGGTGACTCATCTCAGCCAGCCACATCATCTGAATCAAGCTTAACATACTTGGATTAACTGCCCTTTCAAAACTGAGATGAAGTATTAGAGAGGCCATGCAAAAATCAGACTTTGGGGGACAGAATGGGCAAAAAGGGGAGATGAGTAAGGCCTCCCCAACTCTGTTCATGGTGCTGCTGACTCCAATTAGACTGCCACACATTATTTTTAAATTCTTTTTTCCAGGGAATAATACTCTGCCAGTCTCCTTAGCAGGGCAGGTTGACTAGACCAGCACATTTAACCAGGGGAGTAATTCAGTGGTTCAGACATGTCATGAAACACACAGGCTGGCTTGTCATAGTCAGGATTAAGCACAAAAGAAGTACTGTAGGGTCAGATAAGCCCATCCCTGCTATGTCTTTTTTCAGGCCCCGACTCTACTTTCCCTTCTTTTATTAATAAGCCCCCCAACATTTAGGAAATGTTCCGAGCAGACATCTCTTTGCTCCAGACCGCATATGCCTGCCCAGGAAGACTTCCAGGAAGACCGCCGGAGCTTTAAAGCCCCTCACTTTTGAACAGGTTATGTGCTGCGCACCCCTGTCACGGAGACCGACAGAAGCCACGCCGGAACACGAACCGGGCCACCGCCCTATTTCAATCAGCTACGCTCGCGCGGCGGCTAGATCATCCCGGAAGGGCGACGCCAGCCCACCCTGACAGGCGCGGCGGCGGCGGCGCGGAACTCAGTGGAAGGTCAGCTGGGGCGAATTCAGGCCGGGAACGTCTCCCGGGAGCGCGTCGCCCCGCCGGGCCCTCCGGGGAAGCGCCGCGACCAAGCCGCAAACGCGGGCCAAA